GGATTACATAGTGGGTTCGTAGGTGTAGGATTATTGGTAGAAACCTGCTAGCATCGGGAGAGAAGACAGTGCGATGCACCCAGTGAGGCCAGTGACTGAGAGAGAAGGAACGAAACGTTTTCCATTTCATTTTGGTCATACTTTGCGTCAACTTTGATGGAAAGGTGATATTTAGGCAGGGCCGACCCTAGCATTATGGAGACCCTAGTGCGACTGAGGCACAATAAACATTAACATAGTAACAAATATCCTTTCAACATATATTGTATATCATGAAAAATATAAAGGTGTTAACATAAAAACATAATTTTAGTTGTAAATAAAGTCTCAATGCACCGTCTATGTGTGATTATATGATGCAAATAATGATTATAATGTACTAACTATAAATACTATTAAATAAATACAACATGGTGAAGTGCGACCAGGAGGGGGGGGGGCATATGTCCCCTGCCCATGTTGATTTTTTATTTGCAAAACAAGTTTTTGTAATTTATTTAAACATGTAGATATATTGGGCCCTTACTTATAATGGGTCCTAGGCTGCCGCACCTTTTGCCATGGCCTAGGGTCAGCCCTGGAAGTAGGCATGGCCGCGGTCACCAATGTATGTGAGTTGTTTGTCATAATCCTACAAAGAGAGAAAAGAGAATGAAGAAGAAGAAGACTAGGTCCAAGTGTCTATGTGGCAGTTTTTTTTCCAACTTAGCCTGACGGGGGGCCTAAATAGTTAGTGACGTCATCAAAACGCTTAGCATTTGGCGTCAGTGTTTTTTGCCACTGTCAATTTTTCGACACGGTGAGACATGCAATGTTTTGTAAAGTGGTGATTTTCTGCTAATCGCACCACTATTGTGATGGTTCTATGTACTTTACTCGAAAACTTTTCATTCATTTAAGAAAACGCAACCATGCACACACACATAGATTATTCAGATTTATTACCTTCCATGTGCATGTAGAGGAGGTAGAGGCCTACTCAAGTGCACCTATGCCACTGAAGGTAACCGTGGGCACTGATGATACGGACAAATCATGTTGACCAGGGGGGAACATGTTGTTTCATTCACACAACCAAGTTGCCGGCAACACTCAAGCCCAATAAGCCTCTTGTCTCCGGTAGATATAACCCTTGTGAGCTCGTACTTGCATTGCGAAGTCACTGCCCTCAAGGATCTACTACAGTCATAGCCAGAGGCAGCGAGGGAGGTAGAAGCGAGGACGAGGACGAGGACGAAGTATGCAGACCAGGAGATGGGGTGGAGTGCCGTTCTTGCTTGTTGTTAAGTATAGGAGATCGTCTGTCTAGCAAGATGGATGATGATGGATGTCCTTTGGTTCCTGTTCAATATATAGCAAGAGAACACTTGTAATGCTAGCTTGTGGCCATTCAAGGCGGAGTTTACGGGCATTAATTGACTGCCAAGTTTTCCTATAGATTGCTACTTGTACTTAATTTATGATGATCTACTCAGCATTAATTGACTGCCAAAATTTTCCTGCAGAGTGCTAGTACTTAATTCATGATAAGCTACTCTAGTTAGGCCAAGACTATATTTGGTGCTAATTCATGATGAGTATATATCTCCATTCAGAGATACACTAGTTTCTAGATAGCATCAGTCAAAAATTTCTTGTTTAGACCATAAATATATCAATCGATAAATCATAAATATTTTTGATGAGTGCATTATGAATATTTAGATTGATATCATTGTTAGAATAATTATAAATATTACTATTGTGAGATGGTTCATTTCAGTATTTGCTTCTGGCTCATGTTTGAGCTAAATCGTGTATCAACTCTACTACCCTAGTGGTCTTTCTGTTTTTCATTCCACTCTAGATTGCATCCGGAAGACCCTTTGTAATATTGGTGCTTGATCAATAAAGTTTCACTAGTAGAACCTTTCGAAGCAGTTAAATGTGGTGTGGAAAAAAATTAAGTTGGGCAGTGATTAAATTATAATATTTATATTTATGACTATGATCATTCATGGTATAATCTCATATATGCATTATGTCCATGATATGTAGACCGTTAATCCAACTGCATCTACAACTAATACTCCATCCCAAGACCGCAATCCACCATTGCATCTCGAAGTACTAAGTTTATGACAAAGAGAGCATTGCAATAAGCATGATGACATAATATAGATAGTAAAA